AGATCTGAGCTGCATGCCCTCCAGGAAGAGGTAGAGGGTATTTTCCTTCTGGAGAGAGGAAGATCAGCTTCTTCCATCACATGGTTACTGTCATAAGAAGTGGGTTGCCCTAAAATGAGCTCAGCAGTCTCCTATCACAGCCTTAGGGTGATCTTGTAATTAAAGATACTGAGAAATAAAATTTCTAAACCTGACTTCACATGAGTGCTTACATTCCTTTGCCTATTAATACTATTTCTTTACATTGATCAATAAAAACAAAGTATTATTAAAAAGGCCACATCCCTCACTTTTTTTTCAGTCCCGTGTGGCAGCCAGTCAGCCCAGGGGTGGGAAACAACCCACTTTGCCTGTCTGCAGCTCAGCTTCTCAAATGCCACATTTGTCCAGGTACAGTCACGAGATCAAGTTGTTCTGGCGCTCCCAATGGTTCGGGACCCGGGAATGTTTGTGCTCTGCTGATGTGTGGTCATTGTCCCCTCACATTCAGCTGCAGAGAAGGGTTATTGAGACCCGGGAGAGAATCCGCAGACATCCATTTGCTTCTTGAGATAAAGAGTTCCCATGGCAGGAAAGAAATTCTAATAACTATAAGAGCTCGTTGGTGAAAGAAACAAACAAACAAAAAATGATAAGCAGGAAAGAAGCCCATGTTCAGAAACGTTTGGAACTACCAGACTTTGTAAAGAAGAGTATTAGTGTGTGTGTCTGTTCATAAAAGCCACGTGGAACGGGGGGGACTCGATGAAAAAATGGCCATTTTTATACTTGTGGGTAAAAATAGGTTGTGGCATGGGTTTAGTGTGGCAGTGTTGGGTGTGGGGATTGGGTGGAAATGGATAAAACTCTTCATGGGGGTTGAACTGCACAACTCACCCCACCTTTGGGTGGAAGACAGGGGACTGAGCCTGTAGGAAGATCCTCCTCACCACGTGTGCAGGTGTATGTTGCCTGCAGGCACACCCAGCAACACACCCAGCAACACACCCAGCTACACAGACACACTCTTTGCAAAAAATAAAAAATTATTGACATCAAGAAACTATAACCTCAGTGAAAGTCCCTTCTCGCCCCTAAAAAGAAGAAAATGCTTAAAAATATCAGTATCATCCACATGAAATCCATATGTTTAGTTTGATTTACAGTCGAGTTAAACTCAGAAACGCTCTATATCTTTAACATCCTATGTAAGTGGGGAAGGGTTTTCTTCCTGGACATGAACCAATTCCAAATTCTGAAATGGAGAAAAAACAAAGACAAACCAAAATCCTGGATAATTAAAACCTTCAAGAAATCCTTCCATTACATTCAAACCCAACTTACAATCTTTCTCTTGGCCTGTGCCCAGTTTCTCTACTGCCCATAACTTTTTCCCCTCGACTTTCACTCTTCTTTGAGGTTCAGTGGAAACATCCCAACAGGTCAAGAAGTGAAACCTTGTGTCTGAGCAGAGGAAAGAAATGGGCTTTTGCTCCATTTTCTCTTACATCAGGACTGTGCTTGGTTTGACTGCAAAGAGCACCTCAGGGAAGGGGGCAAATAACTCATTCTGGATGGTCTCAATCCCCTTCATATCCCTGGATATTTGGAAAGTGCAAAACTGCTTAGAGCTCTTCCCTTCAGTGGGAATTATCAACCCAAAGTGCCTTACAGACTCAATCCTCATTTTACACTGAATAAAATTCATAATGATGCCCTGAAAATTCTGCCCGTGGTTTCTCAAACTTGGTAAATCCATTGGGATTTTTCAGATGTCAGAATGGAGTTCCCCATTTTGACATGAGCCTTGCAGGTAGATTATTAAGTGCTCAAAATATCCCTGAGGGTGATGGTTAATGCCACAGGGTGTGCTGGAATTCATTGCTTGCTACTGACATTATCTGGATAATATTATTTGAAATTCAGGAAGGAGAGATTCCTTGAAAAGGCCCAGGTGAGAGGATTTGGGAAAATGTAATTCATGAATTATTGCTTGGCAAAGTAAGTAAGAAAGACACACGAGGTGTGGGCAAGTTGAGCAGCTTTGTCTGTCCCATGGCTGTTTGCTGGGGCCAACATCTGCACTAACACACATGGTTTGGACTTCAGACCCAAACAAACTTTGCCCAAAGTTTGGGTTGATAACATTTGGGATAAAAATCTCACGTATCCATGTTAGACTTTAGCTCTCCTGGGGCTGCTGCACTGCTGGGTTGCCCCCCCAAGCCCAGCCCTCCCCCCATGCCAGGGTCTCATTCTCACCTGCAGTCTGAACGTCCATGGAGATGCTCCTAAAATCTGGAGGAAAGGGTCCTGAAGGTCGTCCCAGCTAAAGATCCCATCATGTTCTTATCAAACCCTTGCTGAAAGAGCAGATGTGTATGAGTGCATATCTGTTCCAACACTGATAACCACCTGCTGCTGTGAGACAGAGCCTCCCACCCCCCTTCACTTAAAAATCATGGAATCATAGAATAACCAGGGTTGGAAGGGACCTTAAAGGCCTTGTAGATCCAACTCCCTGCCTGGGCAGGGACACCTCTCATTAGATCAGGTTGCTCAGAACCCCATCCAACCTGCCCTTCAACACTGCCAGGGATGGGGCAGCCACAGCTTCCCTGGGCAGCCTGTTCCAATGTCTCACAACCTTCATAGGGAAGAATTTGCTCCTAATGTCTAAAAACTGCTTCCTTCTCTAACAGGCTCCTCTGTCCTCCCTCTGGGTGCCTTTGATCCACGAACCATCACCCTTATTGATGGGTTTAATCTTTCTTGCATTGCTTTCCATCCACCAAGAGCTGGACTTCTCCAGCTTTACCAGAGAAAACCTTTACCTAATGCTTCACTGAATCATATTTCATCCTGGAAAAATGGCAAAGGGAGATGCCTGATGCATCCATCCCTGCAGACTCCACCTGATGTGCAAGGAACATCTGTGTGAACACGGAAGTGACTCAGTGACATCAAAACAAGCCAGCAGAGGCTCTGGATCAGAGCCTGGCACAAAGCTCCACAAGATTCCCTGGAGAAAGTCCCTAACTGTTGACATGAGCATGATATTTAGGTGCTCTCTCCCTTCCTGCCCCCAGGGTACTCCTGTTTGTGGATGTTCCTCCTTCTCTTTAATTTGGCCCTTTACTCTCTGCAGGTGCTGCTGCTGTGGAGCTGGAAACACCCTGCTGGTTCAAAGGCAGCCTGGGGAGCTGGCAGCCCTGGCTGCCTGGGCACTGCAGCCCTTTCTGTGGCAGGGAGCAAAACAAACCCTAAATACTCCTCTTCTTGGTTTAAAAGATTACCCTGAGCGTGGGGGTGATGTAACCACAGGGTAGGGTTGTGGACACAGAAAAAAATGGGGGTTAGAGAGTGGAGGAGGCTTTCCAGGGATCTGCTGGGACATGCTGATCCTACATGATGGAGTGTAACAAAGGGAATCTCCCAAGCCAACATGGAACCACGTCCTGGCCCGTTCCCAGTGCAGGGCAGTGCTGTGCAGCCATGGCAGCACTGACCCCAGGAGCATCGTGGAAGATGCCACCTAAACCAGCATCACCCCCAGGGTGCAAACTGCCCAACACAGCCACTCCCCCATCCACTTAGTCACTGAAGTCAGTCTGGCAGGGGTGGTTGTGACTCCTGCCTCTTGCTCAGGTCTTGGGTGGGTGCCAGAGTGCTGAGAGCACCACGGTCCTGCCGAGCTCCTCACAGCTGCTGCCCAGACCCACTGCTGAATCACAGCCCCTGCAAACACAACTTCAGAGGGTGAGTCAGGACCAGGGGTGCTCTGGTCAGCCAAAAAGCAGGACTGTTCTCCTTACCTGCTTGAGCACACTCTGCAGCTCCCTGTTGGACCACAGGTCTGTCAGGAGGAGGCGAGCAGCTTCAGCTGCTTTGGGACAGGAGCTGGGAAGATGAAAGCAACCCCCGTGAATTACAGTGGGCCAGAGAGCAGCAACCCACACACTTCACCAACAGCCTTTAAATAAGCCCATTCCCAGCTGGGAGCCTGGCTAGCCTGGGTGGAGGATGGTCAGTAAAAGTGTCTCTGCTGTCAGTGTTACATGAAATCAACCTGAGTTCAGAGCAGGAAAAATCATAGAACCATAGAATCCCAGAATGGTTTGGGTTGGAAGGGACCTTCAAGATCATCTAGATCCAACCCCCCTGCATGGGCAGGGACACCTCCCACCAGCCCAGGCTGCTCCAAGCCCCATCCAACCTGCCCTTCAACACTGCCAGGGATGGGGCAGCCACAACTTCCCTGGGCAACCTGGGCCAGGGTCTCATCACCCTTATAGTGAAGAATTTCCTCCTCACGTCTCACTTAAATCTCCCCTTTTCCAGTTTACAGTCATTCCCCCTTGTCCTCTCACTACAAGCTCTTGTCCCAGGTCCCTCTCCAGCTTTCCTGGAGCCCCTTCAGGCACTGGAAGCTGCTCTAAAGTCTCCCTGGAGCCTTCTCTTCTCCAGGCTGAGCAACACAAATGAAGAAGAGGGCTGGATTTCAGTGGAAAACTTGGTGTTCAACTGAGCTGAATAAGTGCTCCTGGAATGTGAAAACTGGGAGAGGGAAAGAGAATGGAAATGGTGCCAACCCTTCCCTGGCATCTGTAGGGCAGTGTGGGTGATCACTCAGGAGGGCTCCCTGCTGCCTGAGGAGCACAGAGGAGACAGGAGCACTTGTAGCAACAACATCTGCAACCAAAAGTCCTTACTCAGCACAACTTAATAGATACTTGCTCACGTAACAACTCCGAAACCGTGAGTCATAGCAGGACTTTTTATAAATTTGAAACATTTCATACAGCAACCCAGATATAAACCTCCCTGCTTGTTCTTATTGCTGCTCCTGATCTGCTGGACCTCGTCCTGCCTGTGGGAGACTCCAGATCTGAATTCAGTGTGACAACCCCAGCCTGTCTCAGCCAGAGGGAGGAAGAGGTATGAGACCAGAGTCAGGACACCTCCTGTGTGACAACTTCACAAAGCATTGTGCCCTCAGAATAGTCATAGCATCCCAGAATGGCTTAGGTTGGAAGGGACCTTAAAGATCATCAGGTTCCAACCCCCTGCATGGGCAGGGACACCTCCCACCAGCCCAGGCTGCTCCAAGCCCCATCCAACCTGCCCTTCAACACTGCCAGGGATGGGGCAGCCACAGCTTCTCTGGGCAACCTGGGCCAGGCTCTCACCACCCTCACAGTGAAGAATTTCTTCCTCGTGTCTAATCTAAATCTACCCTCTTCATCCTCTTCAGACCATGAGAAATGGGACTGAGAGTGGTCATCAGGAATAACTTGGGGCTTCAAGCACCATCCTCTGAGTCTGGAGGGACAGGAATGTGATCACAGGCAGTACATTTCAGGGTATTTCTCACAGCAGTTGCAACCAAAGAAATTAACAAGTTTGACTTGGTCATAAACTCCAAAGGGATTGTGCAGATGGGTCACATTTGTATTGTGTGGAGGATCACTCAGAAGTTCTTGAGCAATGTTTTGTACAGCAGAACCAGATTTTATTTTAAAATCACTTCCCTGGCTGTAACCATCCTATGCCATTCCACCAGAGTGACTGTGTTTAAAAAAAATCTATGCCTGAAAAATTGTTTGTGGCTGAAAAGCCATGAAAAACAATAAACCCAGAGGTATCTATGATGGTCAGTGCATGGTTTGACAGTCTTTTTCAAGAATGGTTGTTTCATAGAATCATAGAATGATAGAACCATTCAGGTTGGAAGGGACTTTAAAGATCATCCAGTTCCAATCCCCTGCCATGAGCAGGGAACCACCAGACCAAGCTGCACAAAACCTCAACCAACCTGGCCTTAAAACCCTCCAGGGATGGGGCATCAACAACCTCCCTGGGCAACCCATCCCAGTTCCTCACCACCCTCAGAGTGAAGAATTTCTTCCTAATATCTCACCTAAATCTCCTCTCTCTCAGTTTAAAACCATCACCCCTGGTCCTGTCACTGTCTTCTCTGATGAAAAGCCCCTCCCCAGCTTTCCTGGAGCCCCTTCAGGCACTGGAAGCTGCTCTAAGGTCTCCCTGGAGCCTTCTCTTCTGCAGGCTGAACACCCCAACTCTCTTTCTCTCCTTTGAAGTTAATTATCTTAAAAAAAAAAAAAAATAAAATAAAAACCAATTAGCTCCTGCTGATGCCAAATACTGATTTTTGCCATTATGATTTCAGAGCAGACTTCAAAAGAATTTTTCTTTTCAAACCAGAAGTAGCAGCAGCTGGTATCTGAGCCACTTCCAACTTTAGACAAAAGAATGTGTCCCTTCTGAAGGACTGACACTGCCTCCATGTCACACAGCATCTACTGCCACAGTCTGGGTATCTGATGGAGCATGAACTGATGGGGCTGTGACAACCTCAAAACCCTCCAGGGATGGGGCATCAACAACCTCCCTGGGCAACCCATCCCAGTTCCTCACCACCCTCAGAGTGAAGAATTTCTTCCTAATATCTCACCTAAATCTCCTCTCTCTCAGTTTAAAACCATCACCCCTGGTCCTGTCACTGTCTTCTCTGATGAAAAGCCCCTCCCCAGCTTTCCTGGAGCCCCTTCAGGCACTGGAAGCTGCTCTAAGGTCTCCCTGGAGCCTTCTCTTCTGCAGGCTGAACACCTCAACTCTCTTTCTCTCCTTTGAAGTTAATTATCTTAAAAAAAAAAAACAAAAACCAAAACCAATTAGCTCCTGCTGATGCCAAATACTGATTTTTGCCATTATGATTTCAGAGCAGACTTCAAAAGAATTTTTCTTTTCAAACCAGAAGTAGCAGCAGCTGGTATCTGAGCCACTTCCAACTTTAGACAAAAGAATGTGTCCCTTCTGAAGGACTGACACTGCCTCCATGTCACACAGCATCTACTGCCACAGTCTGGGTATCAGATGGAGCATGAACTGATGGGGCTGTGACAACCTCAGGATGGGAAGCAGCATTTCCTGAACAAAGGTGCTGGGAACAGTGTGTGGCTACAGAAGGTGTGGAACATGGAGCAGAATATGAAAAACAGCTGATTTGGGGGGGGAACTTCCTTAAAAACAAATTGCCTGGAAACCAAAGCTGATTGTCAGGACAGTCTTGCTTTGAGTAATAGAATTATTTGTAAAAACTTGTGGGAAGACAAGGAAGATGGAGAAGCAGTTGTCCAACAAATCATTGACTCAACAAAACACAAGCAAGAACATTATCAGAAGGACATGAAGAATCTTTCTGTGTGTCATAGGAGATGCCAAGGAATTCCTGGAAGAAAGGCCATGTCATTAAAGCTGAAATCAAGGGGCAACCTCTGGAAGAAATGGGCATTTGGAATGAGAACACCACTTTTCTGCAGAAAAGAAGCAAGGAAAGACCTAAGTGGCTTGAAAGATTAATTTAGGTAAAATGTTGTGGCAGAATTAAACCAAAATTAAATTGTGTAAGAAAAAAAGTCTGAAAAGTGAATGAAAAAAAGAGGAATGGAAAAAAAATATCAGTGATAAAGCATTTGTGAGACAAACTGCAAATCTCTTCTGCTGAAATTACTGAAAGAGATTTTGAAGAGAAGTTCTTAGTGCAGTCAGTAGAATTATTGAGGAAAATGATAATTTTATCAGTGAAATGAGTGTAATTTGAAAATGAGCAGAGGAATATTTTTCAGGGAGTTGGAGAAGAAAGCTGGAAAGGGCACCAGGCTTCTCAAAAAACTGAAAAAAGAAGGTAATATTCAATATTTTGGCAAAAAACTACATATGGTGCATGAACATCAATAATCACTAGGAAGCTCATGTCACAGATGGGGATATATGCACGAGGTGGAGACAATTATTTAATTGGGGTGCTCCAGGAAGGAGAAGAAACCACAGCTATCAGATAAACTGCTGAACTCTTGATGCCTTGCACTCAGAAAACAGCTACAAGTAACACCCAGAAAAGGCAGCCTCAGCTCTGAGGTGCTGCTTGACCTTCGAGAAGAGCACGAGGAACAAAAATATCTGTAACTTGTTTGTCTGTCACCTGGAAGCTCTTTCTTAAATGTTAATACAAAGTTTGGGCATTGGGTCTGCATCCAACCCAGGCAGCAACCCCCAGCAGAGCTGCTGGATCTAGTGTATGAGGCTCCTGCTGATGGAGCACTAGACAAGTCCCACCTTCAAATTCCTTGTTCTTCTTCCAGGCTCTAGAGGGAAGTGGGAAAAGTTCACTAACATGTGAACCAGGTGTCCAAGTCACTAAAGGGAAGATCTGTCACCTCTGCTTTGTGGGAACAGGCTGAAATGACACAGCTTGAATAAGGGAGATTGGTCCTGGGTGTGAAATGTCATTTGTTCAGGAGAGCTGAACAGCACAAAAAGCTTTGGGGACAGAAATTAATAAAGGAGGAAAAGGAAAAATTCGAGTCATGGACAGTTTAAGAACTGGGGAGTTTCTCAGACAGAATTCCTGATAAAGGCAGGAGGAACATACTGAAGACATCAGCAGAGTTTGGTAACTCCTCACAGCTGAGTGAGTCACTGCAAACAAAGCTCATCTCACAGAGCAGTCACAGACAATCAGGGCACACACAGCCCAGTTATGCAACACTTTGCTGACGTGGGAAATGAGCTGACGACAGGTCAGAGGGATCCAAAGAAGGACTTTAGGCAGAAGAAGTTAATGCCATTCAAAACAGTGAAGGCTTAGGAGAGGGCTGGGTTTCATGGCAATTGGGCTCATAGAGTGGAAGCAGCAAAATGACTGAGGTTCTTTGGCTGAGGTTCAAACTAAACAAGAAGGTCACTTCTGAGGACTGAGAGTCTCTGCTACTGATCATAGAATCATGGAATGGTTTCGACTGGAAGGGACTTTAAAGATCATCCAGTTCCAACCCCCTGCATGGGCAGGGACACCTCCCACCAGCCCAGGTTGCAGATCTAACCTGCCCTTGAACATTTCCAGGGATGGGCCTTTCTCACTTTCCCTGGGCAACCTGTTCCAGTGTCTCACTCCTCTCATAGAGAAGAATTTCCTCCTGATGTCTAACCTAAATCTCCCCTCTTCCATTTTTAATCCACTACCCCTCTCACTACAAGCCCTCCTAAAAAGTCCCTCCCCAGCTTTCTATTGAGGGATGATGGAGAAGGCATGTGAAAGTCTTTTCATAACAGAAACCAATATGTTACCTGTATAAGGTACTTTAAAAAAAAAAACAGATGGTAGGACAAATGAGAGTCCAGGGAGGAGAATACATGGTCCAAGAACACCAAGTTTAACACCATTCTGGCCAGACATGACAATATAGTTTGGCAAGGGGTGACCAGCTTCTGCACAGGGCTGGAGGGAGTATGGGCAACAAGCAGGACAGAATTCCTACCCCCAAAACTCCAACCAAATCCTAAAAGAAAAAGTTGTAAAATACATTGGGGTTGCTCAGTTGTTCTAAAATACATGTGAGGAGACCAGGGGAGGTACTGATTTAAAAAAAATAAATTCATATAAACACAGTTCATCAAAACTATATCTTTGCCACTTGAGGTGGATATTCCAAAAATAAGATGAACAAAGGGGAACATGAGAGCTGAGCAGCCTCCCAGGGCATCAGTGGTGCCTGCAGCTCAGACCTGACCTTCATGGGAAGGTTTGTGGGAAGCTGGGATTGGGAAGCTCTGGTGTGAGGGAGTTGGGCTGTGGCCTGACATCCCCTGGTTTGGGGGCTGGAATTTTTAACAGGGTTTAAGATGTTGGTCCTTCAGTTCTTTTTAGGATTCCTTAATATTCAACTACCAAATTCCCTGAGGCCCCTTTACAAATCCCACCAGGGCTCATCCCAAGAATCCAGTGCTGAGAATTCATGTCTACCAATGTTTGAATTTTTTTCATCTCTCTCAATTTACAAGCACAGGGAAGGAATCACAGAATCATAGGAGATGCTGAGTTGGAAGGGACCCATCAGGACCATGAGTCCAACTCCTGTCCCTGTGTAGGGCACCCCAAGAATCACATCAAGTGCCTGAGAGCATCATCCAAACACTCCTGAACTCAGGCAGGTTGGTGCTGTGACCACTGCCTGGGGAGCTGGTTCCTGTGCTCAACCACCCTCTGGGGGAAAACCTTTTGCTGATACCCAACCTAAACCTCCCCTGATTCAGCTTCTCCCATTCCCCCCAGTCCTGTCACTGGTCACAGGAGTGAAGACATCAGGACCTGCCCCATCTCTTCCCTCCTGAGGAACCACAGACTGATATGAGGTCACCCCTCAGCCTCCTCTTCTGTGCTTTGTTGTCCTTTCACTGTGGCTCTGAAGGCATCAGGGAGGCTCTGGGGTTAATCTGGCTCTGCACAAAGCACCCAGCCTCAAAAATATCTGCACAACCCTCTCCACACCGTCTGCCCCAAACTCACCCATTTCGGCACAGGCTTACTACATTATTTAGCATGTTGCTTGTCAAGTAAGACTTTCCCAGGTGTGGGTTGGACATGATGAGGTTCCTCAGAGTGTAACAAGCTGATGTCATGATCTCCCCATAGCTGTTAGTACTTCCAGACTGGAATGACAGGAGACGTGATACATCTGGGAGCACCTGGTGAGCTAAAGAGGTGGAATGTTCCAATCAACATTTAAAGAAAACCTGGCACAAGTGAACGATACTGTTTGTGTTAACAATGCAAGCAGCAGAGTTATCTCTGGAATGTGACACTAATAATGTTGGACAGTAATGGCATCCTAGAATCATAGAATCATGGAATGGTTTGGCTTAGAAGGGACCTTAAAGATCATCTAGATCCAACCCCCTGCATGGGCAGGGACACCTCCCACCAGCCCAGGTTGCTCCAAGCCCCATCCAACCTGCCCTTCAACACTGCCAGGGATGGGGCAGCCACAGCTTCCCTGGGCAACCTGGGCCAGGCTCTCACCACCCTCACACCAAACAATTCCCTCCTCATCTCCAACCTCAATCTTCCTCTTCCACTTTTCATCCATCCCCCTCATCCCATCCCTCCCTGCCCTTGTCCCAAGTCCCTCCCCAGCTTTCCTGGAGCCCCTTCAGGCACTGGAAGCTGCTCTAAGGTCTCCCTGGAACCTTCTCTTCTCCAGGCTGAACACCCCAACTCTCCCAGCCTGGCTCCAGAGCAGAGCTGCTCCAGCCCTTGGATCATCTAATAGTCATCACTTGATTTTCAGAGACAGAATGTGTGCTGCAAGTCTCTGGAAGGGCATGATATTGGTCAAGCCCATCTCATTTTCCTAAACACCCTCATGATCCTGCAGATCTGTCATTCTCTGCAAAGCAGACCTCATGCTTGTAGAGGCTTTGAGATTGCACACCTTCTGTTAATGAAGCCTGCAGATCACAGAACCATAGAATGTGTGGGGTTGGAAGGGACCTTTAAAGCCCATCCAGTTCAGCCCCCCCTACAGTGCACAGGGACCCTTTAAACTAGATCAGGTTGCTCAGAGCATCATCAAGCCTGACCTTGAATGTCTCCAGGGATGAAGCCTCCACCACCTCTCTGGGCAACCTGTTCCAGTGCTTCACCACCCTCATACTAAAGAGCTTCTTCCTGATATCCCATCAGCATCTACCCTGCTCTGGTTTAAGGCCATTGCCCCTCATCCTACTGCTACATGCCCTTGTAAGCAGCCCCTCCACACCTGATAGTCCTTTTGGCCAGAGGAAACCACACTGCTTTGGCCAGTTTCTGGGCAAACCCTACTACAGTGTTTACAAAGTGAGGTGGGCACAGAGGAGAGAGTTAGAAACAATTGTCCTGGAATCCCCAGTGGTGAAAATGCCTTACCCATGGTTTTGTGGAGAACAGGGTGCCGGGACATGTTACTCAGCAGAGAAGCCCCCGAGCGAACAACGTCGGAGCTGTTGGACTGGAGGAGCCGGGCGATGCGGGGCAGCCCCTTCTCCTTCAGACCAATCAGTTGGCTCATTGCATTGGACATCTAGGAGGAAGAGCAGAGATGTCTCATAACTTCTAATGCCAGGAGGACATAACTGGAATGAGGTACAAGGCCAGGCAAACTATAAAATAAGCACCTGTAGAATAACTTCTGCTACCAACATCCCATTTACCCCTCGTCTCTGCAGGCTTTTGTGAAGGCAGCCTCATCCTCTCTGATACAGCTGGGACTTCTGTTCTCTTTCTGGAGCCTGAGGAAGGACAGTTGCTCACACAACTGACATTTCCATAAGCTGGAGAAGTTTTACTTTCATGTCCATGTTGCCCTTGTCCTGTGCCCTTGCAGCTCCCTGCCATGCCACAAGTAATCAGCTGCTTCACAATAGGAAGAGCTAATGATACCTTTAAAAAACAAGCTGAAAACCAAAAATACTCATCTTGGATCCTGATCTCATGTTTGCTTATGTCAGGCTACAGCCAAGGCAGGCATATATTCATGGACATTGAATCACATACCCTTGCTATATTGCCCTCTTGTTGGTGGAGTTGAAGCTGAACTGCCCCACCAGAAAGGTTGCTGAAGGTTGTGGCACCATCAGTGACACATGTTCTCCAACAGTGACATGGGGATGGGGAGACTGGGCTGGAAGGCAACTCTCCCAGGGGGCTGAGACCCAGTTTCCCTCCCATGCTCCAGGAGGTACATGTGCCACCTTACAGATCCACACCAGCAGGAAGGGGATGTGAAAAGCTGAATCTGAGGAGAGATTCAGCATCCTCCTCTATAAAGTAAAGAGTTCTAAGCTTTATAAGCTTGTCCCCCTTGACAGCAAAACCCACCCAGCTCCTGCTCTGAGCTGGAATAAGACCCTTAGAAGGAAAAGACACTTCTGCACATCCAAGCAAATTCCAGCCATTCCCTTCTGAAGGCTGAAATAAGTTACTTCAAGACTGTCAGAGCTGGTTTTGGTTTGTTTGTTTTCTTCTTCACTGCCCAAAAGACATTCTTGTGTAATTAACTTGATTGCTGAAAGCCTTTTCCCTTCCAGGGAGCACACAGGTTCAACCCCTGCTCTTATCAGCTCTGCTGACACTGTAACAGCCTTTCTGCACTTCATCAGTGCCAGGGCTTGGTTAAACTGCAATTAAAAAAAAAAAAAAAGGTTCCCGAAGTATTTCATAGAATCATAGACTCATAGAATGGTTTGGGTTGGAAGGGACCTTAAAGATCACCCAGTTACAGCCCCTGCATGGGCAGGGACACCTCCCACCAGCCCAGGTTGCTCCAAGCCCCATCCAACCTGCCCTTCAACACTGCTAGGGATGGGGCAGCCACAGCTTCCCTGGGCAACCTGGGCCAGGCTCTCACCACCCTCACACCAAAGAATTCCCTCCTCATCTCCAACCTCAATCTCCCTCTTTCAGCTTTAATCCATTCACCCTTGTCCTCTCAGTACAAACCCTTGTACAAAGTCTCTCCCCAGCTTTCCTGCAGGCCCCTTTATCCTTCTGATGGATGTTTTCCCAGTTTTTTAACCATTTATGCACTTGGCCATTAATGAAAGAGACAAGAATTAGTGCAATCACCAAGATACTCTCTTGAGTAAAGGCATATTACAATTGTGTTCCCCCACCCTAAAGCAAAGGGAGACACTGGAAGACTTGCAGCAGAAGCTGCCAGGAGCTCTGAGCTGGCAGGTTAAGGCTGTCCCAGCAGCAGAGGCTCCACTTGTGAGTCACTTGGTGTTTCTGGGTGGAACGTGCACACGTGACACGCCTCTCCTACGTATGGAACCATTATCTCTTTATCTTTAAATTGGAATTGATGAAGTTTGACACAAACAGACAAGTCGAGGTCTGTCCACGTGAAGGCAGCCTGTGGGGACAGGCCCACAGCAGTGACATGGGGCACGGCAGGGCTGGCGTGGCCCCTGCTCTGCTCTGCCTCCTGCAGCGCCACGCAGCCCGTGTCACCTCCATGCTCCCACACCAGTGGGTGAGGACACCTACCAGAGCTATTTTACAAGCAGTTCTGATGTGAGGACAAGCCACAACCCACAGCACAACCCACCCTGTTATTAGAGCCACCTCCTACTGGAAAAACACGGGCAGGGGATGGCGCAGGCACGTCGCTGCCTTAATGACATCTGTCCACATGTGCACATCTGGGCACATCCTCAGTGGTGTCCTGGGGGAGGCCTCCAGCACCAGTACATGCTGGTGACAGGACCTACCTAGAGAAGCCCATAGGAGGTGTATGGATCTGGGATAAAACCTTGGGATGCTGATTAAAACCCCCCATGAGACCCCTGTTAACAAAGACCTCAGCTGGAACTTCCACTGTGGAAAGACTTGCAATCATCCCCTGAGGTGGAAGGAGGCCCTTTTCCCTTCTGATTATTATAAGCTGCTGACACTTTTGACCACACTTTTTTGGATGGGACAGGAGCACTTACCAGCCCTCTGCTCGCAGTGAGGTTCTGCAGAGCTCCAGCACAAGCTTCCAAGGTGGCATCCTTCTTGCTCTGGTCCATCAGGGACAGGTAGGTACGGATGGCATCAGAGTGGTAGAGCCAGCTGGGTCCTTTGGGTTTAAAATCCTCCTCAGGAAGGGGGACACCATACTCATCATTCTACAAAGATATGAGAAACTGGAAGCTCAGATCCTGCTCCTTGCTAGCAGCCCCTGCCTGAGGCTGAATATCACCTTTACGAGCCCTCTCTGGCACATCTTACCTCCATTTTACCACTCCTGCTGTTGAAACAGCCTGTGAGAGTTTTGTCCATATAAACACTCCGGGCCATGTGGTTGAGTTGGGTGTATTTGTTGGGAACTTCAGCATCCAGGCGGTAGGAGAGGTTGTGCAGGATGCAGATGCAATTCTCCACAGACTGCAACGACCACCAGAATAAAAATGCAAGCATCAAATTAGGCAGAAAAACACAGACCAGCTTTTGCTACAGCTAGAGAGAGAGGTCTCACAGCATGCAGTAATTAGCTTTTTTTTTTTTTTTCCCAGCAGTTACATTGTTTATGCTCCTGATCCTGGCCCAGGTTTCCCAGAGAACTCTGGATGTGCCCTCCTGGAAGTGTTCAAGGCCAGGCTGGATGGGGCTTGGAGCAACCTGATCTAGTGGGAGGTGTCCCTGCCCATGGCAGGAGGCTGGACTGGGTGATCCCTTCCAGCCCAAACTAACCCATGATCCTATGATGATTCTATGACCCTGATTAAGGTAGCAATGGATGGGAAGGAAGAAGGAGGCAGAGTAGACACAAGTGAAGGCCACACAGCCCAAGTGCTGTACCATGAATCTCAGTGAACTGACCGAGTGAAGCTTATCAGGCCCCACTGCCACAGCCAAGATGGTTAACAGGAAAAGAGAGCAGGAGTGCAGAGGGTGGTTCCATCCAACTGCCCACTCTCAAATGCCAAATCCTGAAATTCTTTCTTGCCTTAGTCAACTTCCAATGACTTTGTGCAAGTCACAGCTATGGATTAGGGGATGTTTTTTACCACAATCAAGCTTTTAAGCCTCCTGGATGTCAGAATGCCCAATATAAAAAGCAAGGGGGAATTTCTAAGAGATACCTGTAACCAACCCCAAAACATGTGCTTATATTTCTGAAGAGCTCTGTTCAACATGTGCTCAGAAACTGGTCTTCTTGCAAAAGCCATTCTCAAAAGAGGATTTGCTTAATCCTGAACTGATTTGAAATAATTTTGATTTTGTTGGGCACTGAGGACTTCAGGTTGTCTGGCTACTATCACAGGAGTTGAACTCCTAAAAATGTGGCTGTAAAAGCTAATTAGGCCAAGGAAAGTGCTCTTTACACAGAGCAGAGTTACATTTGGGGGACTGATGGAAAGAGGCCAGCTCCTGGAAATGGAGATTAAGCTGCCAGAAGGGTCTCAAGGTGGGAGGGGAAGGAAGGAAAGCATATTGGGGGCTCAGAAGCTGAAATATTTTGCTGTGTGTCTGTGTTTGGCCAAAGGAAATTGTAAAACCCACCGCTCTACTTCAGGCCCAGAGCACAGAGGATTTGCAATCTTACAACAGATCACACTGGGATTTGGAAGGAGAAGCCACAGAGAGTCCAGTCCCCTCTTCTGTTTGTTTGAAAGGGATTTTGAGCCTTTCCCAAAGTTGCAATTATTAACTACGGGGCTGAACTCTATCAAACAGCTCAGGCTGAGCATCAGGGGTAGATTAAAGTTAGAAATTAGGAGGGAATTCTTTGCTGTGAGGGTGGTGAGACCTTGGCCCAGGTTGCCCAGGGAAGCTGTGGCTGCCCCATCCCTGGCAGTGTTGAAGGGCAGGTTGGATGGGGCTTGGAGCAACCTGGTCTAGTGGGAGGTGACCCTACCTATGTCAGGAAGGCTGGGACTGGGTGATCCCTAAGGTCCCTTCCAACCCAAACCATTCTGTGATCCCAGGATCTGGTACCTTGTCATCAGGTCGGTTGGAGGCCACGCAGTTCTGGGTGTAGGTCATGACAGAATCGATCAATCCCGGGTAATTCCTCATGGTCTGGCGCCCCATGTCTGCAGAACTCAAGTTCCTGAAGGAGGCCATTGCAGAGCATGTCAGGAGAGAGGGAGGAGGGAGAATTAGTTGGGCTCACTTACTAGTCTCTGTGGGCTTGGTTCTGGCTGTGACTTTAGTTTAAGGATATTTTTGTAGGTTCAGCAAGGCTGGTGGACTGCTCTTATGTGGAGGCCTTCTGGAGGACTGTGCTGGTGCACAGCTCTCTCCTTGCTCTTCAGGACTGCTTTGGTCCAGGCCCGTTAAGGAGCTCTGCCTAGAAAACACCCTCCTAGTGAGAATAACTCTCAGTGATATTTTGCCTTAGAGGCTACACATGTGACACACACAGACTCATCAGCTGCTTGGAAGTGTTTCCAAAGGGAAGACTGAAAAAAGACCAGCTGGGATTACTGTGAAAATCAGGAAGTTGTGAGTGCTGTTGGGCATGGAGCTGCACAGGGTCAGCAGCAAAATGTGTGTGGTAACTGGGGGCAGAGATGCTGCAGAGCAGCAATCTCTCTGACCAGACAGACTGCTCAGTTTGGAATGTCATGTATTCTGAGCACTGCTTGCTGCCAGGACCAGGGAGTTTTTCCAGTAATAGGAAATGATTTTTTTCGTTGTTTTGTTGTGGGTTTTGGGGGGGGGTTTGGTTGTTTTTTTCTTCCCCGTTTTATTGCCTTGTAGCTTGCAAATGAAAAACAAAGAGAGGTTGGCAGTTGTTGTGAGATATTCACTCCAGGCGTTCCAGAACTGGATTTGATGTTCACTGTGATTTGCAGCCTCCTCATTAGCATGAATTCATCTGCAATCCAGAAATGCTTGAGCAGCAATGGCTCGAGCCCAGGGCAAACCCAAGGCTGTTCTCATCCCTGCGTTATGAAGTGGCAGGGCAGTGAGTCAGAGCAATCCCAGCTGCCCCCTCAGAGCAGGGGCTCTGGACCCAACTGCCCTGCTCTCCTGACTCGGTTCACTCCCCAACCTTCCGAGCTCCCTGATCGACCTTCGTCTGGGGTTCCTCCCTGGGGATGTCAGACATCACTGCCCCAAATTGTGACAAGGCTCAAGATGGAGTCTGCCTTGAGTTCAACTCCACGGAAAGCTCCTCTCCCAAGCCATGCAGAAGGAGGGCAGCATCACCTGTCCCTCATCTGAATGGGCCGTTCTGTGGCATCGGTGGGTTGAGATGGTCTTAGCAGTGGGGGCACCTCACACCCAGCTGTGACTGCAGGGGGAAGGTGCCTTCCAAGACAAGGAAAGGAGCTGCCAGACACAGTTCCCAGCCACAGAAAATGATGGTATCACATCTCAGAAGGCCCCTGTGCTGTGCTCTCTCACTGGTTTCATAAGCAGCTCCAGCTCCTGCCGGCTGCCCGGCCGGGAAGGGCGCGGTCGCCCCGCGCTCCCTCGGGGAGAGCTGCAGTTGATGAAAGTACCTAATTATACAGGGTAGGTTTCATTTCCCCCCCCCCCCACAACTTGTTCCCAATGAGACGAGGAGCTTGCATCCAAGTAGAGGAGGGTGGTAGGAGAAGCAGCAAGTCAGGGCGAAGATCCTCTGCGAAAGGGCTCTGGCGTTCCCGGGAAAAAAATAAATCCTCTGGGTTCATTCTGCACCTCCTGCTTTGGAGATGACACATCTGAAGAAGTGAGCCAGGAAAAAATCCAATGGGACTGCTCTGGACTAAACTGTTGTTAAATCCAGTGGGAAAATGCTTGTTTTCCCCACATTGAGAATTCTGTCCTTTTGCCACATAAAACCCAAACCAGTTTGTCTTCTAGCAACCAGAATTGTCTCTGGAAGCCTCAAAAAGTCAAAGGGAAAAGATGTTAAGTTTTCTGGGCTGAGCTGAACAGCCAGGCTGCAGTATTGCAGCCCTCCTGTGACAAAGCAACTTCCACTTTCCAAGCAGAGACAGCAAGAACAAACTTCTTTAAAAAAAAAAGAGCTACTAGAAAACCTATTTCACATTTAAGGTTTTTTTTTCCTACTCTTAGTGAGGGAAACTTCCTCCGGGAGAATTTTTTATTAACACAACTTCAGAGAGTGTGTCCTTAGCTCACTGTGAGAGGATTTAGCCAGTTCCAGCTCTTGCTAGAAGCTGCAGGGAGTCCCTGCTTGTTGACTCACCTCAGACAACCTGTAGCATTGAAGAATACTTCTGGGTCAATGATTTCTCTTGTCCTGTTGCAGCTGCCATCAGACCAGCCAGAGAATGGGATGATAACACAGTCTGTCAAGACGGGGAGGGCCTCCTGTATCAACTCTTCTTTTAATTCATCAGTGGAGGAGAGGTTCCAGAGCAGTCCTAGAGAGGAGGTGGGAAACAAGCTCAAGGTCAAGCAGAGGGTCAACGTGCATTAGAAACTTTGTAGAGTTAGAGGGATTTCCAGCAACAAAGCCCTTCTTCACTCCATCCCTCTTTGAACTAGGCTGCCCTAAGACCTAGACTCTGTCTGCCCCTATGGGAGACGGGCAGGATGGGCACCAGGAGCATGGCATCATGCAGGGGTGGGCATCATGCAGGGGTGGGCATCATGCAGAGGTGGGCATCACGCAGGGGTGGGCATCACGCAGGGGTGGGCATCATGCAGAGGTGGGCATCCAAACGTCCTCCCAGAATCAGTGTTTATTGCCATTAAGTTGCACAGGGAAGGATCTCTCCAGGGATCTCATAAAGGCTTGCACACAAGGCCTCAGTCACAGCTGAGGAGAACTCACACTCATGTGAATCCTTCAAGAAAAGGTGGGACACCCAGGAGATAACCTGCCCAACCACACTGGGATTGCAAGCACCCTTGGCTTTCCCTGGAAACAGCACAGGGGCCAGGGGTGCAGGGAAGCAGGGGAATGGCAGGGTGACCAGAGCTGTGGGGGGCAACCTGGGGCAGAGGCTTCCTCAGCGGACTCTCCTGATATGAGGAACCCTTATGGGAGGGACATTGAAGGGCCATGACCTCCTCTGCCTTCTGTTTTAAGTTGGCATTTGGTGCAACAGGGGCATAAAACCTCCTGTCTGTGCTATGGCAGCACCGTGGCTACCGGGAAACCAGGACCACGGGCAGGGAGGAGCAAGGTCCTCGCTGAGGGCTGAGCAGTGAGCTGTGTACCTGTCAGTTGCTTCTGAATTTCAGTGTTCCCTGTCCTCCTGAGGAGGCTCACACACTCCCTTATCCCATTCTGCCGCCGGGTTTCTATCTTGTTGGTTGGATTCTTGAAGACCAGGTTCCGGAGGGCTCCGGCCGCCGCGCGCTGCACGTTCTGGTTGGTGCTGCGGAGCAGCTCCACCAGCTTGGCAATGCCCCCCAGCCGATAGACCTGGAAAGACACGAGGCCATCAGCACGGTGTGCAGAGCATTCCTACCACTGGGACAGCTGCAACTGGCAGGGCAAGGGAAGGAGCCAGCACGGCAGGTCCCCAGAGGAGCAGGGCGAGCAGAACTCGAGTGCAGCACGGCCAGAGCTTGGACATGGAATGTCTGGTTTGGGCCACAGGGCATGAGAACAAAGGTGCTGGTGTTGAGGTTGGAGTTTCAGTTCTAGATTTCTGTGAGTAATGGCCACAAAGTGAGTGCTTTGCTGATGCAGATGTGCTTGCTCCCACAAACTTTCACCTACCTCCATCCCCTTGCACCAGGTGGAAATGTTGCTCTGCCTATCTGTAGAGACCATTTATAGCCATGTAATGACCTGGTGTGGTAATTTATCTGCATCCTGATATCATAGGCTGAGCTTAGAGAGATGGTCATGGTAGAGTGTAAACACCTTTAAGGTCAGCCAGAAGCAGTTCTGTCCCATACTGGGCAGCAGGGGAAAGGGGGATGAACACAGGACACCACACACATGCTGGGGGGTCTGGAGAAAAATCCTTCCAGCTGAGCTCTCCAAAAGGATGAGACCCCATAGTAGGATGTTGTTTCCTGGGGACATGATCCTGCATGGAACCCCTCCTGGCACAGACCAGCCCCTGGGGATTTGCTGACAAGAGAATGAATGAGCACCTTCAGAGGGGAAAGAAAACAAGCATGTGCTGGGATGACTCACAGACCTGCTCTGACACATCTTTCTGGGAAGCAGTGGGACAAGCCAGTGCTCAGAGTGTGTTTTCAACTGTAACAAAGGGTGTGGCCACCCCACAATTAGTGGCTGTAAAGTGGGTTGGGGTACCTGCCCTTGGTGCAGCCAGGGCACAGGGGGACATCACCACACTGGACCACCATGTCCTGCTCAACTGCTGGCAAATGGAAAACCACCTCCCTAGGGATGGCATCTTGATAAACCTGTGTTTGCAGGACTACAGACGTGCCAGGGTGGGGAGAAAGTTTGGTGATAGTCTTGCTACAGCAGATCCATCCTGGAGACTGCCCCTTGGCTGCATGTTGGCATAAATTCAGTGCCAGGAGACTAAGTGCACAAGAAAAATAATCTGTGCTACAAGAAGGGTTTTTGTTTGATCAAATAGCTTTGTAGTAGGAGGTGTCCCATGGCAGGGGGGCTGAAACTAGATCACCTTTAAGGTCCCTTCCAAATCAAACCATTCTTGATTCTATAATTCTAGGATACATGATCACTAATTAACCCCTTGGCTCAGAGGGCTGAAAATGGCTGAAAATGTCACTGAGCAATGCACAGTGAAGGTCAGAGTGGGATTTAGGGTAGTTTGTGTGGCTCTGACACTGCAGCTGAGATAGCAAAGGATCCAGATGGAACCAGATGAGGACACTGTGTCTGGGTGGCTGCTCCCTTATCACCAAAACCTGCCAATCTCTGTCACAGCAGCTTGTGGTGATGATGTGGACACGGTCTCCTCTGCTGCCTGGTAACTGTTCCCCTGTGTTAAAATCTTGACTGACTGCTATTAAGAGAAAGTGGCCACAAATAGTTGGAAAATCTACTTAATTATCTTCTTGATGTGACTAATGAGGTATAAAAGCTCCATCATGAAAATTAAGGTGACCAATGGACCCTTGGTATTGAGGAAAACCAGTTCCATCCATTTCATGTGCCAGCACATCCAGCTCTAAAGGATTTGGCTCACCTCTTGCTTGGCAGACTCATCCTGGAAGCAGGTGTGCTGGAGGTAGTAAGCACCCATGGCCTGGTGTTTGTCATCAGAAGAGCACAGAAATTGGATGGCTTTCTGGATGGTCATCGTGCTGCCATCTATCTCATCACCACATATTCTGTGTTAAAGACAAATACAACATTGGCTGAGTGCTCAGCCCAGAGGGCTGCCTCAGCACTGGGAATTATTAGGAAGGAATCAGCTGTGTAAAACTAATCACAAGGTACAGTTTCATAGTCACAAAAAACAGTTTTACATCAAAATGTAAAATACAATCACGTTGCTGCATAAACCTCAGGGTGAACCCCTTGTGCATTTCTGTGTTTCAAAAAAAGAGATGATAGAAGTGGAAAATACACCCTGGAGGACACTAAGGCTAATAAATTATGGAACAAATCTATCCAGAAACAAAGGAGACAGAAAGTGAAAGCTCAGCCAAGGTGCTAGATGTCTAATCATGTGTAAAGTGGAAGGTTTAATGAAGAGAGAACCAATATTCACTGTTCCTCAAATAGAAGAATAAGTGGACAGGAGTGAAACCATCCATCAGGTGATGAGGACAACCTAAAGCAGGTGGGTGCTTTTCCCACACTGTGTCATCCTTTGATGTGAGATGTGGTGGAAGCAAAAATGTGAGAATAGGTGATGGTCTCAGGAGGCAAGAGCAGATCCCTTCAGAAAAGGTGACTGGCATGTCTGGAGTGATGGGATGGAGAAATATTGAGTTTATGAAATACTAATAATAGCACCAGACATCCTGCTCCCAGGGCATGTTTACATGGGTTGTCTCAAGCACTTCACAGAAGTTCACCACTGTCATCATCCCCTCCTATGGGTAAAGAATGTGCCTAGAGACTCCAGAGGAAGGATATGAACACCTCTGGCTTGGAGCAGGACTGCAACCTTGGAAACAAACAAACAAACACCTGATGAGTTGTCCACTTGTTTAGAAATACGACTCTTTGCCTTCTACTTATTTAGCATCATCTGTGATGTTTTCACCCCATAAAATTAGAAAAGGCTGTGGAATTTCAGCCTGATGAAGGGGCTCTGAGCTGCAAAGCTTGTCTGTGTTTGCAGTTATATCAGTTACTCCCACAGAAGTTACTCTTTCTTCTCAGCATCCTTGCACCCTGGGCCTGCAGCTGGACCCCTGCTCACAGCAGCAATGGTTGTGTTGGTTTTAATCAGAGTAAATGACTCACAAAGTTCAGGACTTGAGAAGAGTCAAACTCCAATCTCCTGTTTGGCTGTGTCCTGGGTTGAGCCAGGATGAAGCCACTTTTCCTTTTACTGAATTTTTTTGCTTCAGTAAATGTTCCAGCTTAGAAGTGGCTTCATCAAACCAGGACAGGTTGTTACTGTTTCAGCAGG